CTGCCCCTGTTTTTCTCTGGGTTCCTGTCCCATGGAGTATTGTTTTCCATCCTTTGACTTTCAGTCTATGTATTTCTTTCTTTCTTTTTTTTTGGTACCGGCGATCAAACTCGGGTCCTTGTGCTTGCAAGGCAGGTGGCGAAATACGGATTTCTTTTTGAAGCTAATGTGTTTCTTGTATACATCCTATAGTTGGATCTTGCTTCTTGATCCATTCTGCCCCTTTGTTTTTTTGTTTGGTGAACTGAGACAAATCATTGATGGCTATAACCAACATGTATTGACTTATCCTTGTCATGTTATTTTCCTGTTGTTGGTCCCCTCCCCCCATTTAATTGCTTGCTTTCCTGGTGGATTCATTCTATTGGGGTTCAAAGAGTTGTAGTCCTTGTTTTCTCATTCTAGGATGTCCTGCAGAACATTTTGGAGTGCTTCTTTGGTGGTCATGAATTTCTTCAGGTGTTCTTTGTCATAGAAATTTCTTATTTCTCCATCAATTTTGAGAGATAGTTTGTAGGGTACATCAATCTTGGTTGTAGGTTTTGTTTTTGTTTTTTGTTTTTTGTACCAGGGATTGAACTCAGGTCCTTGTCCTTGTCCAGCAGGTGGCAAAACCACTGAGCTAAATCCCTGGCCCTGTAGGTTGTTTTTTTTTTTTTTAGGGCTTGAATACTTCACTCCAAGCTTTCTTTGAGTGTTTGTGTTGAGAAGTCTGCTGTGATTCTAATGGGCTTACCTGATTTGTCTAATCACTTTTAATATTCATTTCTTATGCTGAATTCTTGGAATCTTGACTATTATATGCCTTGGTGTAGTTTTTTTCTGATCATGGCTAAATGGAATTCTATATGCCTCAGTTATCTGTATGTCTCATTCTTTTTCCTACTTGGAAAGTTTTCTGCCATTACTTCTGTGAACAGGTTTTTATGTCTTTTGCACTATCTCCTGCTTTGTCATTGACTCCAATAAATCTTATGTTATTCTTTTTGGCACCATCTAGCAGTTGTTGGATTGATTTTTTGGGATCCCTTGCAATTTTTAAGAGATCTTTCTTTTCATGATCACTAACCACATCCTATCTTCTGTGTCTGATGTTGTTTCACATTGATTTACTGTGCTGTGTATAATTTACATTGATTCATTCTGCTGTGTATAAGTTAAATGGATTTTTTTTTAAGCTCCTGGATATCTGTTTGAATCTGTTTCATGGATTTCATTTCTTTCCTATTTTGGGCATCTTTTCCAACATCTTCCTAGGCTACTGCATTTAAAAAAATTTGTATCTGCTCTAGAGTCACTAACCATGTCTTTCAATATGGTCATAGTCTCTGTGGTTATCTGAGAAACTATTCTTGATTTGATTTTTTTAGATCCTCATTCATCTGCTTTGTTTCTTACCTTGTTACCACTTCAGAGAGTCCAGGTGAATGGGTTTCAAATTGTTCCACCTCATTGATCCCTGGGTTTGCCTTTGGTGAGCTGAAAGTTTGGGGTTGCATCTTGCTTAAGTGTCTTCTCATTTTCTATTTTTTTTAGTTTAATTCATATGTTGATGCTTGTAAATTGCATATGCCAAGTAGCTTTACTGGCAGTATTTAGAAACCTTCAGAAATGCCTACTTCTCAGTGATGTCTTCCAGTTGTAGCTGGCTTTTGGGTTTTGAGTCTCTTACCTCTTCAATTTATTGGGGATGAGAAGTTGCTGCCTATCTGGCTTAGCCCCTGCTTCTTTGGCACTGGCCTATAGTATTAGTTATGACCCTGATGCAATCTCAGTCTTGGCCTACCAGGAAGAACAACTGATTAGAACAATTATGTCATCTTGGCTAATGCAGTACAATCAGCAGTAACAAAACATCAAACACAGCCTAGAAAATGACAAACTGTGGTAACTATTGATTTGTCACCTTTAACCACATGAAGTAGGTTTGTGGTTATATAACAAAACCTAAAATTAACAAGAAAATTGTATATAGTAAATATGCCCTCGGTACTGCGATTTTACCCTCAGGGGAGAAAATCTAAAAGGGATTAGAGAGAAAAATAGAGAAATAGAAGAAAAGGAAGAGATTAGAAGCAAGGCTGGAGGACAAAGATTATGCAAACTATGGGGAACTAGTGAAAAGGACAGGAGGAAAAGAGAGAAGGAAGAAATAAAAATAGGAAGAGAACAGAACAACAACAACAACAAAAATACTATAAACAATTTTTACATCTATATAAAAACAAGAACAAACAAGAAAAAACAAAACAAAAAGAAAAGTAAAAAAATGTTCACGTCAAGGTATGTCTCTGCTGTCACTGGTAGACAAATTGAGCACACAGTGATCAGATCCATATTGATCAATCCCAAAAAGCCAGCTGTAGATTTATGGGGAGGTAGTGGATAATCCCACCAAGGTGTACCTTTAGTTCTGAAGTTCAGGCTGATTTCTGGCTGTGAGGCTGCATCTTGATTTATTTAGTGTGCAAAACTCTGTGTGTTTCCTGCCAGCTTGAACTCAGCACCCTGCTGGCTTGAACTTGGCTCCTTGACCTTTTGCTAACTTGAACTCAGGTCTGCCTCAAAATGATGGAGCCAGTCTGCAGGTGCTCTGAGTTTCCAGCTCATTTGACCCCTATTCAAGATGGCTATCATTCAGTAGCCCTCTCCTGGGGGATGTCTTTATGTGAATAACTCACCAGCCACTGCAGTCCGCTGTGTCCTCTGCTCTTTTTCACTGGTGTATTTCTTGTTGAAGGCCTCTGGGGTCACCAGTATTTATCGTGGGGCTCATAGAGAAAGTGCTGCTTGCCACCTCCTTCCTCTCCTCTTGGACTTAAATTCTCACTTCAGATCCTTGCTGAAGGATCATTTTTCTCTTCCTCATGTTGCTGTATTCCAGAATCAGGACACCAAATCTTATTTATTTATTTATTTACTTACTTACTTACTTACTTTTTGGCACCAGGGATTGAACTTGGGTGCTTGCGCTTGCGCAGCAGGCAGCAAAACCACTGAGCTACATCCCCGGCCCCTTGGACACCAAATCTTGAAGAGGTTGTTTTTCTGTTGTTTACCACTCTGCCATCTTCCCTGAAGTCCTCGCATTAAACTTTTAAAAGCCTAAATAACTTGGCAAAGGTCACACAAGTGGATGATTGTATAATAAGTGGTAAAGCCAGGCTCTAGTATTCCCTCAAACTTTAAGCCCATCTAAAATAATATAGTATTCAAATTTCTTAACTGAAGATCCAACATATTCTGTAATATGAAAGACCCTCAAGCTTCTCTACTTCTATTTTTCTATCCAAAACCGTGTGCTTCACTCATTGCCACTTAAAGCTTATATTTTCTCCAGATTTTGCTCAAGCTAGAAATCTTATCTAGCTTTTGACTACCAGATTCAGTGCATTATTCAGTATCTTTCCAAAATTTTTCTCAATTACTACAAGATATGATTCCTTTTAACTTCCTCAGTATTTACCACATGGTTTTGGAGGCTCTTGGTCACATAATGTCTCATGTTAACTATGTCCCACCTATATATCTTGGTTAACACATATAAGTTCAACAAATGGAAGTGACATGTTCATGACATAGAGACCACCATAGGGACAAAGAACAAATAAATTTCTGGGTCCTTAACCTGTTACTCATCAAAAGCATGATTTGTGTTTTCTTCTGAGACAGCGACTTAAAAGTGGTTTTTGCCAAAACCTGTGACTCTTCCACTTGGGCCTAAATATGCCCAATAGTTAAGTAAAACAAAACTTGACCTACATGTTGTCACAAATCCTGCTTCTGATGACTAACAGTTAAGGGCCCAGGGTACATTTGTTCTTGGTCCCCATGACGGTCTCTATGTCATGACTGTGTTACTTCTATTTGTGTAACACTTGTGTGTCAATTAAAACATGAGGTGGAACATAGTTAACATGAAGAATTATATGACCAACAGCCTCTAAAACTGTGTGGTAAATACTGAAGGGCCATTCATATCCTATGGTATTCAACAATTTGAGAAAGAAGTTGAATGCTGCACTCAACCTCGAGTCAAAAGCCAGATAAGATTTCTATAGTTATTTTGATCAAAATCTTGAAGAAATATAATCCAGGTCAAATCTTTCTCAGCTCTATAGACAGACATGTTATTAAGGGAGTGTCTATCATCTCTATATCTACCTAGCCAATGTCACTGCCCTTGAAAACCAAAAACATCTACACCTAGAAATTACCTTTGCCCTAAAGCTATGGTCACCTTGGATTCCATCAGAGCTTCACATGACTGGAATCGTTCCTGAAGTCATGAAGATTTCTCCCATGAAAACTGAATTGCCCTTCAAGTCATGAGGATTTAACCTGAGCTATGAAACCAGGACTGAGGTAATGATCTACTGGACCTAAGCCCACTACAAGCACCCGACAAAACTGGTTCTTGGCTGCACTAATGGGTCACTCTGGTCCTTGATCAGTGTGAACCTCCAACTACTACCCAGGTTGGAGTCCTTTCTTTATATTTTAGCTTTCAATTAAAGCCTTTTCCTGAAAATTCGTTATTTAGTTCTAATTTCTAGTATCATTAAAGCAAGAACCCGCGCTATCTGGTAACAGAGGCCATTATTTATTTTGCAGTCCCACCTAAATGAGGATACTTGGCTATCACGAGTGTATGATGTTTATATACGTTTATCTGTTAGACCCCTCGATCTTACATGGTTTTGATGCCCTGTTGTGTTTCACTGGGCAGGGCTCGTTTTTCGAGGAGTGTACGTGTCAAAATTTTAGTTTACCCGCACGTCGGGCCCACTGTCAACGGTTAGTAACTGTCTTCCTGGACCAGGCCTCTGCCCTCCATCTTTGTGCGGACAGGAAGGGCGGAGACGCCAGGTGTAGCCGGCTGGCCGAGACAAGACGGGTGGATTCAGGCCCCCAGCCCCAACAGCCAAGTTTTCAAAAAGCCCGCGCGTGGCGCCCTAGGCCACATCCGTTGGGAACGGCCCCCAGCGCGCCCCCCACTTCCTCCCCCGCCAAGCTCTGCGGGGTGGGGCGTGAGAAGCAGGGCAGCTAGCAGGCGCCGCACACACCGGCGCTCAGAACTGAGCGCATCGGGGAGCGCGCCCGTCCGGCAGCCCCCAAAAACGGAAGTGGATGCAAGACATCGCGGTGATTGGCCAAGCCCACACGTCCCTCAAGGGGCTGGCGCGAACGCCACTGCGGAGTTAGGCCAGGGATAAGAACTAGGGAGGGGGAGTATCACTGGGAACAGCCGCTGGAAGGAAATAAATGGCGGAGGTGCGCAGAGGGTCAGGAAGGTTCCTTGTCAAGTGACACTGAGGCTCTCGGGAGCAAAAGCAGGGCAGCAGAACAGGCGGCGGGGGTTGAGCAGGTCGAGGGCTTGAATAGACCGCGGAGGGCGGGGAGTCCGTGGCCGAGAGCGGCGCTGCAGCGCGGTAGGCGGGACTAACGGGAGCGAGGCGGGGATTGGCGGGCAGCCCTCAGCTGCCGTACGTCGCTGGTGACGCACGCCTCGGGGAGGGTGCGCGCGCGTTCAGCGGCCTCTTTGTGTGGTGCCCAGATTGGGGAGCGGAGGTGGCGGGAGCGGCGGCGCTGGTTGTCTCCCGTTCTCCTCGGTTCGCCCTCTAGCCGGCGCCTCTCCCCTCCCTCCCCCTTCCTCTTCTCCTTCCTTCCCTCCCCTTCCCTCTTTCCCTTCCCCGCCGGTGGCCGGCGGTGGCGGCTCCAGCAGCGGCTGGGCCCAAGCTGTGTAAGAGGCCTCGGCGAAAGGTAGCGGCGACGGCGAAGCCTCGGAGCTCGCAGGGCGGGGGCAAGGCCCGGGCCGTGGAGATGGAGAATTCGCAGCTTTGTAAGCTGTTCATCGGCGGGCTCAACGTGCAGACGAGTGAGTCGGGCCTGCGCGGCCACTTCGAGGCCTTCGGGACTCTGACGGACTGCGTGGTGGTGGTGAACCCCCAGACCAAGCGCTCGCGCTGCTTCGGCTTCGTGACCTACTCCAATGTGGAGGAGGCCGACGCCGCCATGGCCGCCTCGCCCCACGCCGTGGACGGTAACACCGTGGAGCTGAAGCGGGCGGTGTCCCGGGAGGATTCGGCGCGGCCCGGGGCCCACGCCAAGGTGAAGAAGCTCTTTGTCGGGGGCCTGAAGGGAGACGTGGCCGAGGGCGACCTGATCGAGCACTTCTCGCAGTTCGGCACCGTGGAGAAGGCCGAGATAATCGCCGACAAGCAGTCCGGCAAGAAGCGCGGCTTCGGCTTCGTGTATTTCCAGAATCACGACGCGGCAGACAAGGCCGCGGTGGTCAAGTTCCACCCGATCCAGGGCCATCGCGTGGAGGTGAAGAAGGCGGTCCCCAAGGAGGACATCCACGCCGGCGGGGGCGGCGGCGGCTCCCGGTCCTCCCGGGGCGGCCGCGGCGGCCGGGGTCGCGGCGGTGGTCGAGACCAGAACGGCCTGTCCAAGGGCGGAGGCGGCGGTTACAACAGTTACGGCGGCTACGGCGGCGGCGGCGGCGGCGGCGGTGGCTACAATGCCTACGGAGGCGGCGGCGGCGGCGGCTCGTCGTACGGTGGCAGCGACTACGGTAACGGCTTCGGCGGCTTCGGCAGCTACAGCCAGCATCAGTCCTCGTACGGGCCAATGAAGAGCGGCGGCGGCGGCGGAGGCAGCAGCTGGGGCGGTCGCAGTAACAGTGGACCTTACAGAGGCGGTTATGGCGGTGGGGGTGGCTACGGAGGCAGCTCCTTCTAAAAAGATAGGAAAATGCCTGGGAGTGGCTATTAGAGGTTAGCTGTTTGCAACAACCCAAGTGGGGTCAACTCCAAAATCCTTCCCCCCTCCCACCGCCGTTCCTGTTTTGCTCTTGGGGGAGCCGCTGGTAAGGCTGCTTACCCTGGGGGTGTCCCCCTCTTTGCCTGCCACCTTTCTTCTCCCCTAAGAAGATGGACTGGGCCCCACACACATTTTTGTGTTACAGTCATTGATGGACTCTATTTTTTTATTATTACTTGGACCTTGGTCGTTTTTATACTAGCAAAATGTCTTGTTTTAATTTGTGTTGGCGGGGGGAGGGAGTGAACTTGCTGATTGTAGCAAAACCTGGGCGGGGGTGGGGGGGTAGTTTACTTTGTTGTAAGGACTTGATACCTGGCTACAGCGTTTTCTACGAAACCTACTTGGATTCCATGCCTGAAATTTGGAAGCATATGTACAAAAATCATTTTTACGTTTTATTTTTAATAAATCATTGTGTTTGACCGTACATGTCTAACATTTTTTTTCCTAGGATCCATTCCATACCGTTTTAAAGGGATATTAGTTGAAGATATTTCGTGTTAAATCTTAATGTGTACTTTGAGAAACTTAAGAGGTCCTGTGGGGTTTTTTTTCTTGTTGACCTAGTAGTGATGTGTTAAATTTTAACCATTACAGGCAAAACTTTGGAAGTGGTGGATGTGGCTTTAAAAAAATCTTAAGTTTCTGTGCATCCATCTCGTATTAGGCAATTTGTTTATCATCTTGATATGGTCATTTCTTTCTATGAGAATTTACTTCAAAGTATGTACTGTGTAGTTTTAAAAGAAATAGTTTGTGTTAAGCATGTGTTTTCATTCTTATAAACTGTTTAAAAATTCTCAGATGGCCTAGTTCATCCCTTATTGGTTTGTCTGTACTGATTACAAATAAGGGTTACATTTTGCCCTAACACTAAATACATTTTTGTACTTTCAGGGCAGGTTTAAAACACGTTTTTTTCCTATATCTGAACTGTTAATCTTCATGAAAATCCTTCTCCCAACCTTTGTAGCACCGTCTACTGGCGGAAGGGCAGTATAGCTGAAGACAGTTGGTTTAAAATTGTTTAGGACAATTGCATCAGATTTAGAAGTTTGCTATCAAAGATCTGTGAAAACTTGGAAGTTGCAGATTTAATTGTAACTGAAGTGGGCCTCACAGGTATATAGCTATCACATTTGCCCTTTCTACATGAGATTTTAAAATGTAAACTGCAGTGACCCCAAATTGCTATGACAACTAATGAACCAGCTATGTGTACTGGTATCTTAGGTGCAAGTTGTAAAGCAAAATACCTGTATTCTGCTTGGTTAAACATGTATATTTGTAGCCCTTTCATGCAATAGAATTTAAGTTGTTTATAAAAACAAAACATAATAGGAGAAAATTTCCTTTTTGGATAGAAATATTAGAATAGCAACGTTTATGGATATTACAAATAAAGAATTCAATTCTTTACATGATTGAGTGAGAGTATGTATAACCTGGTGGGTGGATTCAGAGTACCTATTTTAAAGTTGGTTTCATGCTATGATAAAACGTTTGACTTGAAGGCCTAAATGCAGTACTTAAAAGATCCCTAAAAAGATTGAGTTTTAAAGTAAAAGAATATTGATGTTGACTTGTTTTTTAGTTCTTGTTACTGTATGATTTTTGCCATAATATTTTAATTGCCAGGCCTTTAAAGGGAGAGCTCAAGGTTGTTAGGCTAGGTTCTGGGTTCTCAGTGGTACTTTTGACAAAGGATAGCTAATGCTTTGTACAGATATTTAAGTAGACTTCTGGCAAATGAGGTGGAGGTTTTTGCACATTTGAATAAAGTAATATTAAGTGCATCGTTAATGCTGTTTCCTTAAGTTTCTGTTTTTGGTTTTTTACTTTTAGTGTACTACACAACCAACCAATGGGCTGCTTCACTTGGTAATCATTTGGCCTGAATTTTGGGGTGGACCCTAGGATACAAAAAATGATTTGCTTTAATCTTTTATTAAGTATTATTATTCTTGAATTTAATTTAGTTTTGTAGAAATAAATAACTTCTGTGGATCAGTTGGAATTAGTTTATCTTTCAAAAGAGTTGTAGTCATTTTGTACTTCTAACCTAGTGGCTTTTACAGTGTTGGAAAATGAATTTATGTAAAAGGATTTGTTAATTAGAAAAGCAACCTACTTTGCTCATAGTATATTCACACTTTAATGACTGTAGCCAAAACAAATTTCTATATTCTAGGCTGGTATATAGTGAAAGAAAAAGCATAGTGATATTTAATTTTTCCTGGGTTCCTCTTATCAGTTTTTATGTGAACATTTTTAGCATATGTGGCTTTTTGGGTAGAGGCACACCTGGTTTTGTTTCGATCCTTTTACTGTGAGAATGAACATGAATTTTATTATTTCAAACTTAACAATTTATGGGAGGAGGTAATGCAGAATCTAGTCAGCATTGTAATTGAATCTAATTTGAAAGATTAACAAAATAAAAACTTTGTCTCTAATGTAGAGGATCTTTTGTATTTACAATACTTTTTAAAGAGTAAATTCTGGAATTATTGAAAGTAGTTTGAAAGGGCTTAAAAGGTGATAATTTCAGTTATCTTAAAAACCTTGCAGGTAGTTGGAGTTTGTAATGCTGTGAAGTCTTAATGATATACTGAGTATTTCTTCCAGTAAGTTGATGATTTGGATTATAAATTCAGATTTTTTAAAAGCAAGATTAAAGAATTGAGGGTGTTTGAGATTTTGGCATTTATGATTCTTTCCCTTAAGAGCAGGTGTGACTGTTTGATTTGTAGTCTTATTTTCCTTTTACGTGTGCTTACGTTTTTCAAGTTTGAGAATTTGAATTTTAGATTAGATTTTGTAATTCTGTGACTGCTAACTTAAAAGTAGACAGTAGGGTATTGGATTGGCTTGAGTATAGCCACATCTCGGCAGTCTATAGAACTTTTTGCAATTAGGGAAAGTCTCTTCCATTATACATTTTATCAATGTAATGGTATGGTGATTGGGAAAGTTTTCCTTTCAGCCCTATTTTGGCCTTATGAAACAGCAACAGTGTCTAAACCAACCCAATGCAATGCCTTTTCCTTAGTGTCATTGCAGGTTACTCAAATGTACCCTTGTCTCATGCTTTCTCAGTAAAAGTGGAAATGTGATGATTTTTCAGTTAAAAAAGTACTTTGAAAGAGTAGATAACCAGCCCCCTCCAATTCTACTTTAAACATCTTGCATAACATTTGGATTGCACTAAAAGTTACAGAAAATACTTGTACTACTAGGAAGTATAAAATAGAAATCTTACTGCTTCTTAAAAGTGATGTTTTAAAAATAATTAGAATTAATAAGTTTGTAAAGCAGACTACACAAAAAGTAAAAATCCTACCAATAAGGGCAAATGCTCTTTTGTAACCACTATTAAGGGGTATATATCCAGATCTTTTTTATAATTACATTAATTTTTAAAAATACAAAATACTTTTTTTTTTTGCCATATTATTGTAATCATTCTTGTGTATCAGGATAAGTGGACTGATCTAATTCTTAATACCTGTATAGTATTCCATAGTATAATTGTACTGTATCTTAAAGTAGTTCTCTTAATGGAAGCGAGGTTTCAGTTTCTTGCTTTTATAAATAGTGAAGTGATGATTGGTATTGTAAATGTTTCTCACCAACTGTGCTTAATTGATGAGTAGGCTACATAAGTTGAATGTGCTAGAAAGCAGAATGAAGCAATTCTCTGGTATATTTCTTCTAGTAGTATACTCAGAAATGTATGTAGTCGTTTGTATCTTAAAGTCTTAGGGTAAACTAAATTTTCAAAGCTAGGTAATGTACAATAGTATTAATGGTCTGTGAAGACCATTATATTGCTGGCCTTACCTTTTGTTTTCTCCAGTACTGTAAGAGTATTTGCCAAATTTTTCATATTATGTCTACATTTGTCACTTAATTACCTGAAGAAATACAAAACCTGTTTATTGTGTATTTGCTGTGTGCTTTGTGGTAAGTTAACTTCATTTATTTTAGTGCTTAGCAATTCTATGAAGAGGTGCTTTTATCTCCATTTTATTAACTACAGGCTTATGGCAAGTAATTTAAGACCATGTAGTTATTGAGAAAAAGAAATAGGAATCTTTTAGCTTATTAAATCGTCTTGTAAAAAAATTTTTAAAAACTTCTCCTAGCTGGAAATAGACCCATCGTTTGTTTCCTTTTTCCTAGATCTTAATCTTAGTTGCGTGGATACTTGTTCTTTTTTAGAACAAAAGTGGAATCATTTTATATATCTGCATAATTATATGTATTATATGTGTAAGTGTTACATAACTACATGGTCTTTTATAGTCTAGATACAACATAATTTAGTGATCAGTACCTTTCCAGTTTTGCAGGATTTATGTTGCTACTTAAAAGATATTAAAGAAGGAAGATGATAGAGGTTTGGCTGAAGCCATTTGTTGTACTGGTGTCCAGGAAATCTGTGAGCCCTACAAAGAAATGCCGAGATATTCTCATTCCTATTTTGTCGCTGTTCTTAGCCCCTTCCTCTCCCTCTCCCCCTCTCCTCCCTTTCCCTCTGGCACTGTATTCTACAGTCTTTTAAAAAAATTTTTTGAGTTTATTGGTACATTTTACAAGGTACATTGGTACCTTATGATCACATTCATCATTGAGAATTTGTAACTGTACATGATGTAGCTTGATTCTTATTTTTTCCCATTCTCCTTCCCCCACTTCGATCGTCCTACACCCCCATACACATAAGCTTTGTTTCCATTTTTTCCTTTAAGTTTTTCCTTTCCCTTTCCCCTGACCCCCTCTCTAGTTTCCCTTTTCCCTTAAACATATTCTTCCTCTTTTGCAATATCTATTATATATTTTGGTCCCTATTTACACTTTTAGTTTCTCACACCAGAGAAATGATTTGGTATATATGTGTGTCCTGTTTATTATTTTTAAAATTAATTTTATTGGTACATTTAAGGTATACAATATAATGACATTCATCATTGGAAATTTGCACCTTTACGTAATCTCTCTTGGTTCTTATTTTTTCCCTATTCCCCTAACCTCCCTTCAACCCCTCCATCCCTCCCTATTTACAAAGACGTTTCCATTTTTTTGTTTTCACGTATTCCATTCCCTTCTTTCCTTTCTCCTCCCCCTTTCCCTTCCCCTTTGCCCTTTTCTTCCTATTTCACATTATCTCTTATATCTTTTAGTTCTTATTTACACTTTCAGTTTCTCACACTAAAGAAACTTTGGTATTTATACATGTGTGTCCTATTTATTTCACTTCAGAGTATCACATCAATGTGCATCCATTTAGCTACAAATGTCTCTAGTTTCTCTTTATGGCTGAGTAATACTCCATTTTATAATACTCCATTTTATAATACTCCATTTTATAAAATACAGCATTTTCTTTATCATGTCTCCAGTTGATGGGCAGTTGGGTGGCTTCCAAGTTTTAGCTGTCACAAATTGTGC